TCACCCAACCTTGCCTGATCAATAATCCACTCCCCAATATCTCCTTTAATTCTCAAAATAGTATTTAAATTTCTTTTTTATTTGATACTAGCATGGAAATATTAGGAGCTTTTATCTCCTTCCTTGACGTAAATCTTCCCAGCTTTTTGTTGAAGTAATTCCTCTTCCCATGTTATAACTTGTAGCAATTATTTGTGAGCTACTAACAGTTTTTTATCCACCTCCTCTCTCTGTTCTTCTGTTGCTTCCAACAATTTCCCCCTTTCCTCATCTTGCATTATTTTGTTGTGTACATCCCCAAAAAATAGACCAATTCCAAGTTTTTAGAGCCTTAGCCACCTTATGCAAATGCCAAAGAATGTACCGGTTATTCCCAACTTCCCCACAGCACCAATTATCTTTCACCACCCTAGGAAAACCATGATGTTTTGACTATACATTTAAATACCTAAAATGATAATTGGTGGATTTAAGAAAATGAGCAATGTTTAGTAATAATGGCTTATGATCAGAGCCTAAGATACTAAGATGTTGTTACTCTAAAAACATTGTAAGAAGAAATCCAATCTTGGTTGCCAAAGCACCTATCTAGCCTTCAAATACCTTCACTCTCCTCCATGTAAATTTTGAGCAATAGAGCCCAAGATCAAAAAGTCCAAGCTCACACATTGCCTCACTGAATTTTTGCATGATAGTATAGTCCACCCCTTTTCCACCCCATTTCTCAATTGTGTTCATGATCATGTTGAAGTCACCCCTACCATCCATCTTTTCTTGAGCAAAGCCCCCATTGCAGATATTTTATGTCATAACTCATATCTAGTAGGGAGAACGATGCTAGCATACACAAATGTAGCTCAATCAATGAACTTTTCCTTCTCAAAATACACATGAAAGAATTGAGGATCTTTTGTAATAACTTGCACTTTTAGACTTCTTTTCCAAAACAACCATATTTTATTATTTGGATTGCTAACAAAATAAAACTTACTGAGCCTCTTTATAATCTTCTCATGGTGATTATAAACCATTGGTTCTAAAACAACAAAGCATTCTATTTTATGGATCCTTGAAAAAAATTTAAGCCTTTCAAAGGAATAGGAATATGTTATTCCTCTGATGTTTCAAATAAAGAAACTAAGCATGTGGCACCATTTTACCCCTTCTAGTAGATCTAGTCAGGGTATTCAAGTGTTCACCTTCAGAATAATAAAAGACTACATCAATAAAGCTTTTACCTTCCATTAGATGCAGAGTTCATAATTCCATTTTCTCTTCTTTTTTATTTTTGAAATTTTCATTCCTCACCAAGGACAGATTGCATCTCTTCAACCACGTCATTCTTAAAGTAGATGGACGAGTCTGCTCATTCACAAGAAAGGGAGCTAGCACCTTAGCAACATTAGAGGGACCATCACCCAAAAACTCTGGACTAGAAGTCACCGCAGCTTCAACCTCGCTCTTCAAACCCCCTCACCCAGCACTCTCCCCTAACCCCAAACCCTAAACCCTCTCCTTCGCCCTCCTCCAAACCCACCTCCAAATTCTTCCCCCAAAAATTAGAAACAGACACCTGCATTACCTTAACCTCCTTCTTTCTGCCAACAGATTTTAGTTCAGGGTGTAGGATATAACAATTCTCATAGGAGTGTCCAAATAATTGATAATTAGAATAGTAGAGCAATTGTCGTTCAAATTCAACTCTCTGTCAATAGCCATTATGTACAGAGCCAATCTACATTTCATTAGCTGCAATCAATGTGATGTCCCTTTCCACCAGAACGCTCACCACGGAGGGTCTGCTTAAATTGAAAGTAGGCCAATCCATCTTAAATGGTCTTTCGCTTATGACAACAATAGAAAAGAGAATCTCATGATTGAACAAATAAAGTCTTAGGCCTGGAAACGAATCCAGACAGGAACAATTAGGGGCTTAGTCTGCATATTGAAATTCACCGACCATTTAAAAAGTTTCATTGCTCAAATATCAATTCACATTAAAAGTCTGGCGTAATCTTCTTCCCTAGAGAGCAGAATGAATATGTGACTGCCATTCAACAAGTAAATTTTCCAATTGCCCGCCAACTTTAAGTGCTCAAACTCCTTTTTAATGACTTAAGCTTTGGATGGTCCTACAGAAATTTCCCAACTAAAATCAGTCGACGAGATTATGCCAAATTCTCACTATCATTTTATGTTAAAAAATAGCTGGCTTATCTCCTTTCTTCCCTGCCTTCCTGATGACATGATTATTGTCATTACCCACTAAAGAGTCATGCTAAATCTGAGGGAACTCCAGTGTTAAGAGGCCACTCTGCCTCCTGCCATGTCTTCAGCAAAAGTCTTTGCCATCAAGCTCAGCCGCCACCAAGCACCACCAAGAAGTTACCACACCGCCATTCCCTGCAAATCCTAGCATAGCCTCCAAACACCACAACTACCATTTTATTATTATTATTATTATTATTATTATTATTATTATTATTATTATTATTATTATTATTATTATTATTATTATTATTATTATTATTATTATTATTATTATTATTATTATTATTATTATTATTATTATTATTATATATATATATATAATAAAATATACCACATTGTAAATGACAAACTCATTTTCACATTGAAGAAAACAAACAAATCAACATGAATATGTCAACACAAATGACCTCTTAAAAGAATCCATTAAAAATTGACAATAATATCCATTATTTTTATTAAAATCGACCCCACTTCCTTTTAAGTCCCTTTTATATAAATGATTCAGTATATCAAGTATCAAAAGCATGACAGTTCAATGAAAGCATTTTTTTTTAAAACACATTGCACAATAACAATGGTTTATTGAACAATCAATGCCTTGCACCGAGCTGTTTCGTTTCTAGCAGTTGTATATTTAAGAGTCACGCATCACATAGAAATTTATGTGGCTCTTTATGATTCTAAATTTTAATTATTCCTTTGAAAGTTCCAATCCAAAAACACAGCAGCCAATATAGCAGTTGCCCGAAATAAACCAAGTTCAATTGAAGACTTATCAGAACTCATTTCAAAATCACAGAACTTAAGTAATTTATCAACAAATTTTGCGCTTATATATTCTTTTTATAATTACCAAAAAAATATATCTAACAATGGTTTAATAATATTTCAAGGAATTTTTTGGGAAAAAAAAAAAGACAAACTACACTAAAAGGGCCAAACTTATGAGAAAATATTACCTCAAGTCTCCGGAGGGACAGTTGCATGCGGAGTCCAATTAACGAAAGCCGCATGGAATCCCGACCTCAGAGGCGAAAATAGGGAAAATAAAAAAAACTCCACACGCAACCCGACCTGAAATACAGCCCGATCAATTTCCCGATAGTTTTCATAGAATTATTTCGCATTCGATGAAGTCGCTACTGTTCTATTGTCAGCTGAAGAAATATTTCACAATTCCGGACACATGCAGCTAGAAATTTTTTAAAAAATATTTCTTCAAGTATTTGTGTTTGGTTTCAAAGGACTTCACCATTATACATATGTCCTAAATTTTATTATTCTTATATAAATTTTTAATAAATATAAGTTATGACATCTAAATAAATTATGTTTATTCTATAACACAATAATTCAAACTAATAACACATTAATAATACACCAATAACGCATTAATAACACATAATAACACATTAATAATACATAATAACACACATACTAACACAAGTACACACTTCCCTAGTCCGCAGTATAACACGTGGGGAATATTCCCTGCGTGTTATACCGCTGGTTATAATGTCACCCCACGTGTTATAGGTCGGTTGTATAAAACGCAAGGAATATTCCACAAGTGTTATACCGCAGGCTAGGGAAGTGTTATATGACGGCTGTATAACATGTGGGACAGCATTATAACCCGTGGTATAACACGCAGGGAATATTCCCCACATGTTATACCGTTGGTTAGAGAGTCTATAATTATATTATTATGTGTTATTAGTTTGTTATTATGTGTTATTGGTGTATTATTAGTTTGTTATTATTGTGTTATAGAACAAAAACAATTTATTTAGATGTCATAACTTATATAAGAATAATAAAATTTAGGATAGATGTAAAATGGAGGAGTCCATCAAACCAAACACAAACTCGAAGAAATATTTCTTCCAAAAACCGTAGTTGCATGCGTCCGAAGCTGCGAAATGTTTCTTCAGCTGGCAATAGAGCAATGGACTCCATCGGGTATAGGGCTGTCAAAAAAAGCTCGTTGTTCGCGAACAGTTTGTGTTCGATTCATCAATGAGTTCGTGTTCGATTCGTTCGATAAGTAAACGAGACGAACATGAACAATTTTTTTTGGTCAGTTAGTTAAACGAACCAAACACGAACAGTGATGCGTTCATTCGTGTTCGAATCGTTACTGTTCGAAAAATAAAATAATTTAAAATAATTATATAAAAATTTATTATATTTTAAAAAATTAAATTTTATAAATTATAATATATAATAAATTTCTAATAATAATATATTAATATACTATATTAGAAATATACTAATATAGATATTATATATTTAAATAATATAAGTTATATAATTAATATAATATATTATTTTTATATATTAATATTAGGGATGTCAAATTGACTCGTCGTTCGCGAACAGCTTCTGTTCGGCTCGTTCGTTAAGAAACGAACACGAACATTGACTTCACGAACAATTTCAAACACAAGCTTATTTCAAACAAACTAAATTTCAAACGAACCAAACACGAACACAAGCTTTGTTCGTTCGTGTTCGATTCGTTTACACCCCTAATCGGGTGCGAAATAATTTTATGAAAGCGGCGAGAAATTGATCGGATTGTGTTTCGGATCTGGTCTCGCACGAAATTTTATTTATTTTATTTCATCTGTGGGGCCAAGATTCCACGTGACTTCCGCTAATTGGACTCTGCGGGCAACTGCTCCTGCGAAGTCCCGAGGTAATATTTTTTCCAAAATTATCACTCTGGTAGAGGAACCATAATTAAGAATCAAAATTGAGTTGTAACATTTTCGATTTTATGTACAAAAGCAAATGCGAGCAAATAGTATCACGCTGGCCTTGCTTTAATAATTACATATCAACCACTGTAAGAGATTAAATTATAGAAAGAAATAAATAAGATTCACAGTTTTGAAGGACGAGCAAATCTTCATTTCTTTGAACTTCAAAGTAGAGTTGTTTGCGAAATAAGCCTTACTTCATACACATCGTTACCCTCTCCTTTAGCTACATTAGCAAAATTACTGGCCCAATATCAATAAATCTGGGAAATAGCTGAAATTGATTTCTCAATATTTTAAGAAAAAAAAAATCACCTATTTCAGCAGTGATTCCTGGCCCAAAAAATGATTCAAACTTCGCCTGAATCAGAATTAGAAATTGCCTCTTTTAGTGTTAAAACTGTTACGGAATGCTAAAGAAAGATAAATAAGTTTAAAACAATATACTGCAATGTCTCAATATATAATGGGTCTGCTTAGGATTTAGTAAAGAACTAATTGGGTGCCTTTAAATACTGCTGAAGTTGTAAAAAGTTCAAAATCCACACCTGTCTTTGCTCAAAATCTGATAATTGCAGAGATTTTGCTTCAAACACGAGAACTAAACAGTATTTTCCATCTACACCGACCTAAAGGAAAGGCATTTAAAGAATTAATCAAGATAACAAATAGGAAACAATAGACAGGTCCAATGTGCCTCCATAAGCCCTGAAATATTAAAAATCAAAATCACCATGGGCTCACTTCTTCACGGATCATTCTCAGAATTGGTCCACTGCGCCTTGAAATGCCGCCTCCCTGAAGCTCAATATAAAGTGTACAGATTGAAAAAAAAACAAAGGGAAACTTACATGCGGCACACAATATTTATGTATTTACATATCTCACATCAAAACTTTCATATTTAGGTGCTTTAAACTATGCATGAAAATGTGTATATCAATCTAAAAGAAAATAATAGTGCTATTTTTGACGTGATTTTAAATATTTGACTGCTATGTGTTTACATATGAAAGTTCAGGTATGAGATACGTAAATGCATGAGAACTGTGTGCGCATGTAAATGCCCCAAAACAGAAATGGATGAAAGATGGATGCTAAAATCAGAAATAAATTAATATAAATTACCAGACCATACTGAAAGATTCTTTTTAGGGCCTCATCTAAGTGTTGCTCATCCCCATAACAAAATCGCGTGACATCATTCCTTACCTGAAAGGAGAAGAGCTCAATATCTAAACAATAAGGTTTATGATTCTACAAAGTGTTATTATATCATCATCATTATTAGCCTTCTAGCTAACTACTTGGGATAAACTTTATAAATGCTCATTTTTTATTCATCGCAGTTGAATAATGAATGAGGTGTTAAACATATCTTGTACAAATTAATTTTTTTCCACATCTTTCATCCTAGTCACCTTTGATCAGCCATTTAAAACATAATAAAATCCCCATTTCAAAGTCCAATATTCTAAAACATAATTTAAGATTAAATTTCAAAAACAAGTTAATGCAATGAGAAGAAATCAACAACTAAACACAAGAAATGATAGTTAACGGCTCTTAAAGAACTCCCAGCATTTTATAATTGGTTTTGGTTAAAAATGAATTTTTATTAAATATATTAAATAGCAAATAAAGCACCACCGAAAATTTTGGTTCGCTCATTTGAGGACTTTCATATTCATGATTCATAGTCTCTTCCAAGAGCGAGTTTCCACAGTTAATATTCTTCAAAGTCATGTGAGAGAGCTTATGTTAAGGCTAGTAATGAAATTTAGGACTACATATTCAGAAGTTATTGTTTCCCACGGGGGAATATTAATGATTCATGGTGTCCCACGGGAATAAGCCCTTATGGTTAAGTACTATTCAAATCATGAAAAAAACTTTCAATGTATACGAGTTGCAGGCTCTACAAAGAACAAATCATTATGACGACTTCCCATATAATCTGAATTGCTTCAATGTTATTGGAGAAGTTTGCTGCTCATAATCTAAGTTGATGAGGCAAATTATTATGACAAATTAGATGGTAATCTCAAAGTTCAACATTCTAAATTTGTTTAAGTACCCTTGTCTAATGATGGCATTTTGCCAACCATTAATCTAAGGATTTTTTTTGTTAGCAAGCATGAGTATATTGTCCAAATGAAATCTAATAATGGTAGAAAGACTCCTAAGGTGATGACTTTCATAACAACCGAATAAAGCTACCTTCACTATAGACATGTAATATGGCTCCTTGAAACAGTATCTGTCATTCAAGGACGTCAAGGCTTTCACCTTTCCCCTTTTTGTTCGATTATATTATTGTTCAATACAAGATTTAAGTATGTCATCCAACCTAAAGGGATTTTGTAGAGATAAATGGAGGCTTAAAATACTTAAAATCTTGTATTGGACCTTGGATGGCTACTCCAAAGATTGTGTAGAAATAGGTAGGGGTAGTGTATATATTAATTTATTTATTTGAATATATAATATTTGTGTTTTTTTAAAAAGGAGCAACTTTTTGGAGACAGGTTAATCATTACATGGAATTCTTTCGGTTGAGCTTGCATTTATGCGCATTCAGCATGAGAAAAGAGGCGAGTAAATAATAAGAACCCATACTAGGATGCCCAGGCATATTCTTCTAGACTTTTTTGGTGGTGATGTGTTGACCTCATTTTTGTGAGGTCTTTTCTTCTCCTCCTTAGAGCCTAGGTTCTAGCTCTAGAAATTCCTATGGACCATCTTAGAAAACTAGAATTGAGACTCACCTTTCTAGAAACTCCAGCGAATTCCTATTTTCCTTTGATGTCTAGCATCTTTGGCACAAGACCATCGTCTTATGAACGAGCGGTTATGAGCTGTTTTGCGAAGATTCAAGGAAAATGTTCCAAATAGGACTTCAAGCCTTAGGAAAACATTCGTCACGACTTTTTCGTCACGTACACACACAAAGTACACGAAGTTCACGAAATTGCGCGAAATCGGACTTCAATTAAGCCCAAAGAACGGGTGAAAATGCGAACTTCTCCAGATGACCTCCGACGACAAATTGGA